GTTGACTTTTGTGGGCTTCAAAAAATACTTCCTGGATTTGATCAACATCTTTCTGCAAATGCAGTCTCTGGTTTGGTGTTTAACACTATTAGTCTCTTGAAATTGCTTTAACCAACACTGTAAGGAACCAAGTCCGAGCTTTATTTTTATTTTACTTTTATTATATTTTTGTTTGGGGCTTATGTTTAGTTAGGACGAAGGTTTCCTCACCCATCACCCTAATGTTCAAAATGAGAAGATAAGAGATTAACCAACTCACCGACGACGAAACGACAGCGCCATAGCTAGCACTCGCACTCACGTGCACGCCCGAGCGGCAGAATTGTACGTCCGCACTGAAGGAGGGGCACCCCATAGACTTTTTAGGGACTTGTATAACCTTAAAACGAAACATCCCGCTAATTGTTAAAGAAATGCTGTAAAAGGTTAACAACATATTGTCGAGAAATAAGCTACCAGATAACGAAGAGAAAACAAGAATGTTACGTGGAGATATGTAAATGAGGGGAGTGTCTCAATTAGAAACTGTGACGTCACCTCAGACTATAAGTACAGTAGCTCAAGTGAAGACAGACGAGGTGAGCTCCTGAACCGAAAGCGTTGGTCTGCTGGTAGCAGTGAACAAGGTGTCGAATAGGAAATCCTAGTAGGAGATTGAAGGTTTCAGTAGGTTTCCTAGTAGGAGATTTCAAATATCAAAGATTTGAAAATAGGAAAGTCTTGAGTAGAAGAAAAGGTTCCGAGTATTAATTGAGGTGACGGTTAGGATTGATAGTTATAAGAGAATTTGTAACTAAGTTAAGAATTGGATTTTGTTTTGTCGGAATTCCAAGGGGAATAGTTCTAAGTTAGAATAAGACTTAAGTTTGTCGGGTTGATTGTGATTTGATTTTTTATTTAATAAATTTGTTGTTTGTTTATAAATCTTGTACATAGTATTTGTTAGACTTGATTAAACATTTATGATTGAGATTTTTTTTTGTGACTAACTTTGTCCTTAATTTATTTCGGTGCACGCTAAAAGTCCAGGCCTGGCAACTAATAAACGTGAACCCACGTAAAGTACCCGTTAGGTCCCGGCTCTTTAAGAAAAATTCGTTGTAGAGCAACAAACTAAATACAGTACTTTACAACATTGAATACCATTATCTGATGGCGAGTTCTGAGATTCTGAGTTCTAAAATATTTACTGTTATCTAATTTGTTTTTCACTTTAAATCAAACCAAACTTCTAAAAGGAACACTACCCAGAGCATCTGTTACTATATTTCATTCAACTCCTTGATATCACAATGACATATGCTGTTATTCAGCACACCACATTGCTATTAGAAGAGACAAGCCTCTTCCCTAATTTAGATTAATACAGAGAAAGTATTCATTGGACAAAAGTTATGAATAAAATGTAAGACAAGAAGATAGAGTTCAAGTCAGAGTCCAAGGACAAAATGATCAACCTGTGTGGAACTCTGTTGTACATATTCATCACCACTTGCTGCCAATCCAACTCTATGGTCAACAACCATTATACTACCAATATTAGATCATCATTAGAAGAAAGATTCATTTGTCAGATGATTGACGTCCAAACTGCTAACCTTTGTCTCTCAATTTTTTATATATTCAGGTATTAAGTAAATTCTTTCTCTCATGAATGAAAAGCTACTGTACTCTCTGTACTAAGCAAAAATAAATACAGTGGAACCTCGGTATACGGCCTTAACCCGTTCCCGATGTTTGGACTTATACCGAATTGGACGTATACCAAACCAACCTTTCCCATAAGAAGTAATGTAAAATTGATTAATCTGTTCTCGTGTAAAAAAATGGCTGGCTTTAAACATCTCGCTTTCCCGGCTAGTTCCTGCTTGATTTTTCGTAAGATCAGCGTGTATCTTTTTAGCTTTCTCGCAAATAATTACTTCCGATACGCTGTCTCCAGCACTGTTTTTCAGTTATCCAAAGCAAAAGCAATTTCTCGACATGATCTAATGTCTTCGATCTCTGTTTAGAAATTGATTTAACCCCTTTCGCAACGTTAGAAGATTTAATAATGTCTTTATTTTTCATGATTGTCCATATCATCGTTCTCAGAATACGGTAAACAACAGTTAAAATCTTGAACACGTGTGCCACCTTCGTATTTCTCAACAATCTTTTATCAGTTCCATTGTAATTCTAGTCATTTTTTTAGTTTTCTGTCGCTTTTCATTTGCCTTTTTGCGATCGTGATTAATAAAAAATAAAATTTTATTTACAAATTAAAATCAAAAGAAATTAAACAAAGTTATAAACCGTTGCACCGCGAACGTCTAGTCTGGTCTAGTACACCGATAGTGCTACTTGTTCATTGATGGCGCGTATAATTGAATTAGTGCTGTGCGATGCATCGATGTGACATCGACACATCGATGTTTTTGTTCGTCGATGCATCGACCTTCCAATGTTTTTGAAACATTGATCCTGAATCGATGTTAGCAATATGTGAATTTTGATTCATTGATGCATGCAGTTCATTCTTTGTTTCTAGTGTTACTACCTGTTCGATTTTCACCCGGACAGCCAGGGAATTCCGTAGAAATTGTGAAATTGCGATGAAACAAAGTTCTTGCAAATATGTTTACAAATTTACACTATTTTAACAGTGAATGAACTCACACTCATTGAAACTCATCCGCAACTCTGCCATGTTAGTCTGTTTACCCCGACTTGTGGCGCGCAACCTGTCGACTTTGAGGCCGGATGGCCCGGTCAAGGTGGCAGCCTACCGCTCTGGGAAACCCAGGATCGAATCCGGACGGGTCAAGGAATCCCCAGGAATTTTTCGGGTGATAGTCCGTTCGGATATGTCGGGCCCCGTCCCTCACCATCCGGTCGCCCCATTGTGGGCCTGGCCGAACCCATAATGGGCCTGCTATAAAAGGCCCTCTTAGTGCCCACAGGGCGGAAATAGTAAAAAAAAAAAACCCTGTCGACTTTTTTTTGCATGTATGATCGTACACGTATCAAATAGAGCTAAGTTATCTGTACCTGTTCTTTCTTAATTTAGGTTATTTACGTTACTCCTACGCAAGTCCCTAGTCCCTAACTGTAACTGGTTTAGAACCGGCATGCACGTTATTCTTCGCATTGTAAAATGACATTGAGCATGCATCAGGAACTTCTGTTTGAACAAACCTGGTTTTTTTTTTTTTTTTAATTGTTTCAGTTTATCTTGATTGAACAAATCGTTCGCAACTGCATACTGTATTATCAAAAACACTTACTAAAACACCTTTTCTTGCAGCCAAAGCTTTTCTTATAAACTTTGGCTGCAAGAAAAGGTGTTTTAGTAAGTAGTTCTTGATTGGACATTGATGTTCCAATGGGCATCGATCAAACATCGATGTGAAATCCGACATCGAAATTTAGCATCGATGCTTAGGCAAACATCGATGTTAAAATTATAGACATCGCACAGCACTGAATTGAATTATGTCGTATACCGAGCAAAATTTTTGTCCAAACAGGACGTATTCCGAATTTGACGTATTCTAAAGCAGATGTATACCGAGGTACCACTGTATATTCGGTGATTAAATTGTGTGCATAGCCATTCTCAGTCAAGACTATGTGATAGTCATCTTTCACAAAAGGCATGTCAATTTAAGTTGAGATCTGCATTAGCCAACTATTCAGATCTGAACAGATTTTTTTCAAAAACAAAAGTACTTTACTTTTTCTTGAACAGTTACAATTTTGAAGTATGATGTCATATCTCCAAACATCAATGCAGCAAGTACAGTGTTACCAAATAAAACCTTTTCAGTTATACTTTCATATTCTGATAAGACTAATGAATGCACTTGATACCAAATTAGTACAATTAATAAAGACACACTGTCTTTTGGTGTTAATTTAATTTAATCTAAATATAAGCAAGTACTTTCAACATTTTACAAAAGTCATCTTCAGGAGAAATTGAACACATTTAGAATAAAAACAAAATTTTTAATGAATATACATTAATGAATTTTAAATAGATGTTCTTAATTGAAATTTGCACTTTTGTGATAATTTTTTAAACAAAATTTATAAATTAATTTTTTCAAAGAAGTGAAAGTAATGTGATGTGAATAGGAAACAATGATACAAAATATAAAATGGAAATATTAAAGAAATACAGTAGCCCCTTGTTATATTGCTCTTATTGGGAGACAAAGAAAAAACACGACATATCCAGCAGCATGATATAAATGTTGGAAATACATACATTTGAATTAAACTAAATTAACGCTGATAAACAGTGTGTATTCATATTCTGTGAGCAGAATTTTATTGTTGTTTTAAGTTGGAAAATTATAAGACAAGGAAACACCAACAATAATTTAGAACCACCCTATATTACATAACATTATAATATCAATACAATACACAAGTCTAATATCAAGGAAACTATAATGAAACTGAAAGATTAGCTCTCTAATGCATATGACTGTATAGAATAAAGGGGACTGAAAAATTAATGACACACATTCTAAGAATAAAAATACAAGTTTCTAATTATTATTAAAGATTAAATGTAAAAAAATGTAGTATTTACAAAATCTTATATTATTACATTTAGAAAACAAATGTAGTCAGTCTATTTTAACCAATAGTTAAAACCAGATTTTATATAATTAATTTCAAAAAGATGCAAATATATTAAACAGTTTTCAATTCTCTGAAGCACCAATTAAATCTCTTTTTAATTTTCATAATAATAAAGTTACTTAAAATATGTATTTTCTTAGCACATTGTTGCTGTTGAGAACATATCACACAGGAACACTTTCAGAGGAAAAAGGTTGTTTTATTGGTATAACCAATAAAACAACAAAATACATATAATAGAGAACAACAAGCAACAAAGATTTACTAAAATAAATTGCTTATCTTAAAATATCTTAATAATTATAAGTTATAGATACTTGCTTTTGAGCTTAAATGATAAAAACAAACTGAAAATAAGTACTTACCTCATTATCTGATTCAAAAAGAATCTGGTCATATTCACTTAAGGCTACTAAAAATATTATAGAAGTAACATTTTCAAAGCAATGAATCCACTTTCTTCTTTCAGACCTTTGTCCTCCAACATCTACCATTCTATAATAATAAATAGAATTAAACTTATTTATTTATGTATTTGTACATTATACACATTTTAAATAAATAAATAAATATATATATATATATATATATGTTTTATGTAATTAAAAAAATCAACATATTGATAATTTTCATTATACTATTTAAAAGGTTATAAAACTTAGCATCCTCTTTGTAAATAAATAAATCACTGCTACATAAACATCTCAAAGCCCAATATTTTTAACAAACCCAAATGATTACAAAATTTAAATTGGGCTACTTTACAGCTACTATTAATAATTAAATACTGAGTAATTTGGTACTAGAGGTAGGCATTAGGAGCTATATCTTATTAATATAATCATAATTATTAAATTTAATAGGTATTATTTAATTTAAAATATTCTGGAAGAAAAGAATCAGCCCAAAGTGGGACTTTAATCCACAACCTCCACTTACCATGCAAACTGTGTTACCAGTTATGCTGCCTGGACCTCAGTCTGATCCTTCACTTCCAGACATAATGAATTTAGATGTAACCATCCTCAAGAATATATAAATTATATATAACCATCCCACATAGAAATATATAAATTAGAACAAGTTGAAAATAAATATAAGCCTCAAATTTTTGTACTACACATGTGTATCTTCTTGTCATAACAATTTCATTTTATAAAAATAATTTGTACAGTATATGAAAAATGTGCATTAAACATGTGCATTAAATACTCCAAAACAAGTCAAAAGGTAAACAATTTTAAAAAACATTCTAAAATTAGAATCTCTAATGTTCTACAAAGTTCAATGCTTGATGCAGGCCCCTAAATAAGACTGAAAATATTCCATTTTGTATTTAATTCAAATACATATTATTTGCTGGAAATGTGTATACATGGTATGTTGTTTTTTAATTTAAATGAAAATTAATATTCTAAGTACAGTGGGTGATCGGTTAATGAACAGATCTGTTAACGAACAAATTGGATAACAAACACTTTCGCGAAAGATTTTTATGATTGGACAACAAACACATGTTCGGATAACAAACACTTCACTAAACAAACACAAGAAGAAGCAATGTAAAATAATGAATACCAATTGGTCTTCCTTTGTCTTCAAACAACAATTCAAAACTTTTCGGAGCGCAGGAGACGTTGACATGAACGTTCTACCCAGTATATACTGGCAGATAGTATTCCCCCGAACTTTGAAACTCTCCCTTGTAATTCCAGCCTTTTATATTTCTGATAGAAACAATTATTTTATGTTTTCTTCTGAAAAAGCAGATTTATACTGATATCTGCTATTAAAGATCTTTTGAAGAAGTGGGATGTCGTCAGAAGAACAGTCTTAAAATGGCATTCAAACCAGGTTGAGGTTAATAGGCTTAGGGATCTCTACAATTATAACGCAATTAATTACTTCTGAAAAATCATGAAGAAGACAGAAAAGCAATAGACATTGGACAGATTCTTTAACCCCCACAAACAGAAAAAACATGACAAATAAAAATGCAAGACCGTGTATATATGTATTTTTATTATTCCATATGAATAAGCGTAATAAGAAAGTATATATTTTTTATTTTTTGGGACTCCAGAATGAATTAATCAAATTCCCATAGAAACCTATGGTAAATCGATAATCAGTTAATGAACAATTCGGATAGCGAACAAAGTCTTTGAATGGATTATGTTTTTTTAACCGATCACCCACTGTAGTTAAATTTTTGAATTTAAAACAAATTTAATAGAACATGTGAAATTAAATAAATAAATAAAAAAAAATTGTACAAATTCAAAGAAAAATAAACAAGTAAAACGCCAAAGCCATTTTTGAGAGAAGACTGTCTCGGAGACTCAGAAAATGGTGCACAGTCAAGCCCTAAAGAAAAGAGAAAAATGAACACTTTCCAATAAGGAAAAGTTGACACCAGTACTTGGGGTCCTGGCATAGATTATAGCAGGCTTTGTTGCTGTCATGGTTACAATGGGTTGCATTGTCATGGGCCTGTTCTTGGCTTCGGTAAGCAGGATCACTTCGACGCTCATGGTGGGTCTTTAGGGTTTCTCATTTTCCTGTCTTTTGCTTGTCCCGGGATTCCGGGATAAAAGTGAACTGTTTCCAGGGAAATCCCGGGACAGAATTAATTATTTTTAAGATATACAAAATATCATGAAATCAAATGATATAATTATTTTTCATTTTTTAAAGTAATTTAAAATGTTCTGCAATCTCCAAAATCATATTCATAATGCTGTGTAAGATACATATTAAAAATTACCTTTGAATTACATATAAATTTTCACAAATAGAAAAAAATTTATTAAAGTTTGCTGGAAACTGCATACAGCAACAACAACAACAAAATGCTTTGAATTGAGTTGAAAATTTAAAAAAAAAAACTTAGATCAAACTTCTAAGTTAAAAGGTAATTTTTTCATTTTTTAAATAAAATATAATACAAAATATTATTGTAAATTTTTATAATAAGATTTTAAAAAGCAAAGATGGTCAATACTCTGATCAGTCAATCTGATTCTTATTTCGGTAATGAAAAGTCCTGCTACCAAGAATGCCCATTCTGATTTAATTGATGTTAGTGGAATTGTCCTTATTACGTGAAGAGAAGACAAATATTACGTGCTTTTCACCTGCATCCTGAAAGATTTCTAGTTCATTTTTGAGATTGTAGTACTTCTTTTGCCCTCTAATATTCTTGATTTGTCTATCTTGACTGCTTTAATAGAAACATCAAGCTTATAGCCCGATAATTCAGCAATTCATTTGGCTTTAATAATCAGGTTTATGAAGAAAAACTTCATACTTGCATACTTTGTACTCGTTTGTATCCTTGCCCAATTTGCACAACCTGGCATAATGCAGTTATCGAAGCTACCAGGCATGGTTAAAAATTAAGACAGCGTAAGCACAATTATTCCAGATATTACAGGTTCCGACAAGTAAAGAATTTTCAGAGTCCTGCCACAAATAAGCTACATATTGATTATTGATAATCTGTGACATGCCATAATAAGCAAAAATTTAAAAACAAATAAGCAAGCTTAAAATTAATAAATACAAATGCATTCTGACAGTTTATGAGTTAATTATACTTTCTATTTGCAAAATTTCCTCAACTTTAATTAACACAGAATAAGAAAAAAGTGAACTTTTAAGAAATTTGTGGGATTTCCCGGAATGAGAAGAATTTTCCAGGATATTACCAGGGTTAAAAAAACAACCAGGATCTCATTTGAGAAACCCTATGGGTCTTGTTCTCATTCTTCAATCTTTGATGTCACTGGTTTGAGTGCAAGCGTTCAAATTTCACTGGACTCAGCCACGGCCACGTCCATGAGGCATTTTCAGTGAAATTAATCTATCCAATGTTGAAATTTCTCTTCGTTGTGTGTTGCCCTGGGTTAATTTTTGTAATGCCTAACAAAAATTTCCTGTTTTTTAAAAAAATAATCGTGGCTATTGTATCATCTGAAATTATTTTTTTATTTTGCACACACAAAATGAATATATTAATAAATGTAATAACAAAAAAAAATTATATTTCGGAATTTAGTTTTAACATAAAAAAATTATAATGACTAGCATCATCTAGTTTCAAAAATGTTCTGATGCTGAAATGAGATATCTCGTTTCAGCAACCAGAGATATGTTGGGAATAACTAACACGGAACAGGTAAATGGGTTTTTTCAAAGATTCATTTGTCAAAATTCAATTTTGCAATGTTCACATTTCCAACTTCCCAACGAGCAATGCATGTGCAAATTTCGCACTAGTGCCTGTTTGTAGAAAGAGTGTTGCCATTTTGTATTTTATTGATATTTTGACTCCATTTTCTGTCCCCGGAGTACTTACAAGTCTGATTTTTTTATGTGCATATGATTTGGACATCTAATACTCTGTACCAAATTGCAACTCCTGATATGTATCATACTTCTTCATACCTCTAAGGTATGGAGCGATTGACGACACCGCAATTTTATAAACAAGACAGTCTTGTCAATAATTAGGCAATATAAACTGATGCTACCCTGGATAAACAAAAACTCAAAATAGATGGCCATGGTCATTTTGGAATAAAAATTATAAATATAAAAGAATTATATGGTATATCACTTCTAAGTCTTTTTTATACCTTAGTGAATTAATAGTATATAACAACAATAATTTTTACATCATTTATTATACTGCTAATAGTATACAACTTAATAGTCTTCATAATAAAAATGTGTAGTATTGTAGTCACACTTTAACATAAATGACTAGCAGAGAATGCCCAGTGTTGCCTGGGAACTCAGGAAGAAGATTGAGTTGTCCTCATTATAGAGTAGCATACATTTCCTTTTGGGTGGCAGAGAATAACTAAGCAAAATTTGGTGCAAATCAAAGAATTTAGCAATTTATGGAGGGAATGAAATCAGAAAAAGGAGTAAGGGTTAGAGTGTCCCTTATTTTCTGAGTTGAAAATTTTTGAACACTCAGTCACCCATTTTTCCCCTTTCACTCAAAAACATGTCCATATTTAATTTCTTGGCAATTGATGAATATTAACCCAGGTCAACTTGAGTGTCAGTCTCAAAAACAAATATGAGTTAGAACTTCAATAACTATTGGACTTTTATAAAGCAGAACTGCAAAAAGAAATACAAAGAAGTGATTACTGTGAACTTATAGTTATGTATACTATTTTTGGTAGGTGACAAAGAAGAAATTAAAAGCCTGTCCTCCCAGGACTATGCATCAAGCTTGATGGATAACAAGTTAATTTATTCCCTAAAAATGTTTCTCCTAAGGTCAGAACCAGGGGCATAGCTACTGTGGAGAGATTGGTACACAAATCATGAGGGCACTAAATTAGAAAGGCAAAATAAAAACTGTAAAAAGATTTGTAAAAAATATTATAATAAAATTTCAAATTTTCGAACAAAACAAAAGAAAAGTAATTAATTTATAGAAATTTTCTGAACTTTGTAGATTTATTAGTCACACA